ACACACTCACGCACACACACACGGGTTGGGGCGAGAGGCAGGACGGGGGTGGGCGGTTAGGATAGAGGGTGGGGATTGAGGGATGGGGGGTGCTAGTTGGAGGAGGGGAGGTTAGGTGTAAGGGGCACAAGGTTACTGTGGGGAGATGTGCTTGTGTGTGTGTGTGTGTGTGTGTGTGTGTGTGTGTGTGTGGTGAGAGGGAGGAAACTTGACATCATGTTTGAGAGTCTAAATACACAAACCTGTACTGTCTATGTTTCCGTCTTTCTCTTGTCATGCCTCTGCTGTGGTCTCTAACTTTTAACACTGAAAGCTACCCGCAGCTTTATTTACCCAAACTTAAACACCATGCACACACACACACCTAGTGACACACCTTGAACCCAAAGGTCAAAGACCATGTGTGTTCTTTCTCTCTCCCCCTCTCTCCCACATGCACAAACACAGACACACACACCGGGTCATGGTGTTTGTTTACTTCTGTCACACACTAAGCAGGCCTATATCAACATTTGGGCTGCATCCCAGAGTGAGCGCAGGGAAACCCCTCCTTGGTTTAAAATCATTGATTGATCCACAGTATTGATTGACACGTGCCTCTTCCCCTCATTGAATCAAAGTTCTCATTGGAAAAATAAATATCTGTAAGCCAGCAGTAGCATTATTTATCCTGAATGATCTGAGGTGTTTTATTGGTGTGAACAATAAAAATAGATGGGCAAATATTCACAGCAGATTTTAACACGGTCAACACCAATCAGAATCAGAAGATAAACATTTGCATCTGGATTGGACAAAAGGCATTCCACACGTTTTTAAAAATATAATTTAAAATATAAATATGTATCTTTTGTAATTGTACATAAAGGTAATTTCAGACAGCGAGTGGTAGCTGTCGCTGACACTTCCATTGTTTTCAATGTCAACACAGTGGCCAACCTCAGCAGCAGTGGCAAAGAGGGCCCAGGTGGCTGCTGCTCTTATGAACATTCAGTTATTTGCCACTACATTCCCAGTTTATGATGATTAACCATTTTCAACTTGCCGCCATGGCATGTGACCATGGCAACCACAGAAACCTCAGTAAGGGAAACAACATAGGATCTGATTTTACAGGTATCCAGGTTCCAGGAATTATACACCTCTTCACAAGCAGAGAACAAACATCTATGAAGAGAAACAGTCTGTGAGCAACATCAGCTTCAAAGTCTGATTATGTGGGGCAATAAAGAATATTTATGGTACTAGTTAGCAAAACTTGCTCTATTATTCTTGTCATTATGGTAATTATTTCCTGTATTCAAGATACAACCTGCTCTGTTCAGCTGTGTGTGATTATACATGGTGGATATCAGCAACCTGTGGTGTACATGCTGGTAGGATCGGCGATAGCAGGGAGCCACAGCAGCGACATTGCGTGCTGCATTCAAAGTCCAGAACATTGTCATTGATGGTGGGCAGCTGCCACAGCAACCACCTTCTGTCTGAAAGTAACATAATGGTTGGAGAGCATATAACATACAGCCAAAGATTCAGTTCTGGCCAAAGATCTTTGTTACATATGAAACCCATTTCTCTCCCCTTTGTTTTTCTTTTTGCCTCACTGTCAAATAAAAGCAAAAATAGCAACAAAAAATAAAATAAAGTAATAGAATAGTACAACACTGTCTTAGCCTATCAAGCAAGCATATCTTTTAAAGGGGAACTCCACATTTTATACAGTTCAATTTACCCATCACAAGGAGTAATACTCAGCCTATGTTATATGATGTATTCAGTGGCTCTGGAAGGAGCTTTCTGATGTCTGAGGTATAACCAAGATGATGTCCTCGGGTTTATCTGAGCAAATTCAACAGAAAGTTTGTGTTACAAACTGGAGGTGTGGAGTTTATGAAGCAAGGAGGGTCTAATAGAGTTGTGAAATGGGATAGAAGTCCCATTTATTTTCCCATAGACAATGTTACGTGATTCACAGTTGGAGAATGTTCACGGTTTCGGTGGGAGTGAAACTCTCCCGGTTGAATCATCAGTACAAAAGATGAACATCTGTATTAGAAAACATTTGGTTCTTTGATTAAAAGTCAAAGATACAAGCCTGTGTACAAAAATACCTCTGGGAAGAAGATTACTTTAACTCCTGGCAAGAAATATCCCATCTCTGAGCTTAAGATTGCACTCTGAGCTAAAGATTGCACTGCTGAGAAAACTAACAATATCAGTCTATTTAGAGCTGTTCACCATGTCAACCAGACAAAAAACATGACTCCTCAGAAAGAAAGTTCAATCAATTAAAACTGATGGCTTAAACTGTAATTACTGGGGTTACATAAATGTACAGGATCACGATACCTGGGAGAATTACGTGTTACTTTGTTGAGCAACATTAAGGGTAATGTTTAAAGAAAATTTTGAAATGGGAATACAGAATGGAGAAAAACACTTCTGGAGCCAGTAGCTCCTCCGACTATATTACTCTATAAATCAAAGATTATGTTTGGCTTTTTGTTAGCATATTTTTTGTTTTGCTAGAACTGTGTAAAGGTTTAAAATACTAAGAATAGTTTGTGCTTGCTTACGGTTATACAGACTGCAGAATAGTGAAGCCAGTAACCAAACTGAACTTGTTTAATTGCTGTTTTACACTTTGTGTGCTGCTTTGAACAAATGTATGCACTGTTCTAATTATATGACAGTAAAAGACAGCAGAAAACCTTCTGTGAACAACAGAATTTTATTTCAATTAATGGATAATCCATATTTTCAAACAAAGGGGGATAAAAACAAACTCATAGAAACTTTCTGTGAATTCATTTATCAACAGGCAGTTTTCTAAGGTCCCAGATGGCTTTTCCAATACCAATACTTGATGCTGATACCACAGTGCCATGTTGGAAATGTGAGACAGGTTGTCAAAAGAAACTTGCTTCCACCAACAGGAAGACAAAAAAAATTAAAATAGTCCTAAACTAAGTCACAGTCATAAGTCCAACTGGGATAATATTGTAACATAGACTGAGGTTTTCAGAGGTTAGTGATACTTTTCTCTACAGTATCGGTACGATAAGCTCAAATGACATGACTCGAGGGGGTTTTCCCTACATGACAATATCATCAAGAAGTGGAAAAGAACTCGAATGAGGTCTAAAAATGAAACGTGCTGATGATGTTAAAGCAGAAATATCTGTGCTCTTTCACTGACAACTGACACATTGAAAATCTTTGTATTTGTACTTTTCTATGACTTCATGTGCACATTAATCATTTTCACATCATGTGAGTTCATTTCCTCTACTGACAGGACATAATACCTGTTATAACAGGTAACGAGAGATTATGGCACAGTCATAAGATAAATGCTCAGTGACAAAATCTTTGTTCTAAGGCAAGTACAGCTAGTTTTGTAAAATGCCCCCCCCCCCCCCCC